CTCTCTCTCTCTCTCTCTCTCTCTCTCTCTCTCTCTCTCTCTCTCACACACACACACACACACACACACACACACACACAGCTTTTGAGTTAAGGAAAATGAAGGAAACAGCAGCTTGCTTCTTATCAGCTGTCATTTGTGCCAAATGTGGGTGTTTACTTGTTTTCATAAACTTGGCTCTCAAGTTTCATAAGATGCAGTATTCAGTATTATTTGATGATATCATAGAGATTTGCATTGAGAACCAAGGATATAGTGATTTTTTTTAGAGAGAATGTGCTTTTCTCTTGTTTCATGATCAAGGATACTCAGTGTAGTTTGTGGTTTCTGATCCCACGTTGTTTTTCTGAATCAGCAAGATGTCTTTACATGTGGGGAGAAATCCCAGGATCACAAAGTCCTCATTCACCCTTTTGTGGGAGGATATTCTTACAAAAATTACTGGAAGCTATGCTGGTCCACTAGAAGACATTTCAAAAATGATGGAAATGTAATAGCTTTTATCAAGAGCAACCGAAACATCACAAAGTAGCGACCAGTCTCTGGGAGTTCACTGTAACTGGCTAAATAGTAAATAAAAAGAACAAAAAGGGAGGACTGTTCCTGCAGACTTGTGGGTTTTTCCATGTATTTCTCTTAGCTAGTTGTTCTTACTGAATATCTAGCCTGAAAAGCATTGACCAACTCTGGCTTGAGGTGTGTTTGGGTAGTATTCCTCTTTAGGTACACAAGGTAATGCTCAAATGGGATTCTTTGGAAGAGAAGTAATCAGAAACCTGCTTATCTAGGTGCTATTTTTCTTTTGTTGTGTTTGCATTAGTTCTGATCAGCCCCTTGATTATTTAATAAACAAAGACTGAAGTGTATTATAACATTTATGTTCCAGGTGAAAAGGTTGGGTAAACTGCTCTCAGGTTTCTATGTCATTTTTTAAAAAGAAAGTGAGAAAAATACTTTCCCCTTTCAAATTAGAGGTTTATAAGTAATTTCCCCCAATTATACTTTTCTTTGAAAGGGGTTAGCAAATTTTCTCCCCCAAACACTTTAGGGAAAATGATTTATATAAGACACTTTTCCTTCACTGCATCAATCCCCTAATGTGCATAGAGTGCTCATGTATAAATTCTTAAATACCAAATACACATTGTTTTTAATGTTTCATCATTTTCAAAATATATAACTATATTTTTTATAAAATCAGTGCATAACACACATTGCATGAGCCTGTAAGTCTTAAAAATCCTTGCACAAAGACTGCAGTCGTATACCTGCTTACTTGAGAATGTGCCCCCATGTCTATGGGACCTAATTTTAAATAGACCTATGTAGGCTTGCACTGTGAATGTCTATTAAATTTACCCATCTTAATGTCATGTGGAAACATAACATTACTAAGATTGGAGGGGCCTTGCCCACGGACCTTTCCCGTGGTGATGAACATTTACATGTGCTGAGATTTGAACAAAACAACGGATAATAGACATTCCTTGTCCAGTTCTCTCCTACATACCTACATGCATTGGACAAAATTAATGTCCTTCTTGCCAAGGTTGGTGTACAGAGGCTCTGAAGCATAGGAAAGCACTGAAGCATATGAAGGTGTGGACATTTGTTCTCTGTGTTGAAGCATATAAAGCTGCAGGTGTTGCCTGTAACCAAGGTATTGGCAAACCTGCTGGATACAGTTTTGTTTAAAGTTGATATGCATCTTTTTTTTGGCTCCACCCGTATTACGACAGCTCAAGATTTGGGCATGAGGAAGAGGCAAGGGAAGGTAGGTCAGGACTAGAACAAAAACAGAATATCCCTGATGGTCTTAAAAGCTTTCATAATGTCTTTTCCCAATCTGGTATCTTCCAGATGTTTCAGATTACAGCTTCCACAAGGCCTAGCCAGTGTGGTCAGTAGTCCAGGAAGATGGAAGATGCAGTTCCAACATCTGGAGGGTATACCAGGTTGGCAAAGGTTATTTTAGGAAGTGCGGGTTTAACCTATGACTGCTTTGACTATGACATACTATGACTATGACAGGTTTAAACTATGACTTACTCTGAATAACTGTTATTAAAGAGGCTTCTTTGCTGGTCTAGCTGGTTTTTCCTTCATTGGCCAGAACTTAAGTGGTGGCATGTAAGTTCAATTCCTGTTCCACATCTCTCACCCTCTAACTTCAGTGTCCTGTTTTGCTGCACTCAGCTACTGACACAGTTCCCCACCTCCTGCCTCAGACATGTTTAAAACAGACAAAATGAGCTCTCTTGCTGGACCAATTGTATCTAGTTAAAGCATGGACTTTCTCACAAAGAAGAGAGAAATATAATTTTGGTTGTCTTTTTCAAGTCGTGTGGCTGAAGCCTTTCAGATAGCTGCTTGAGATAGTAACTGTTGCTGCAGTTCTTCTGATAGCCGGGCTACCACAGCTAATCTCTGAGGAACACATGCAGAAAATGATGACAGTTTTGCTTAACACATTTGAAAAGGATGAAGTCTTGTAGTCTTTTGGCTGATAAAAAAAATAAATGTTGTACATAACAGCTTGAGCCTTCATACAGTTTTGTGCACGTAATCTTTATACCTCTGAAAACTGGTTAGTATACTTATCCCTATTTTTAGATGCAGGAGTAAGAGGGTGCAGAGGTAAGCTGCTTGTGGAAAGAATAAGGCTTCCTTTATTATACCACACATTCCAGACTCCTAATTCACCCTTTGTTTCTAGATCTTTTTAACCATGTTGATAGTACTGGCATCTTGCTTTGATGATCCACATTTCTATAATCCTCATATTAAATTCCTCCTTGCTCACCCTGTCTTTTTTCTTCTTGTTAGATGAAGGAAATTATTTCAGCAAATAAGGTTCTTTATTAGAACTATTCATATGATCCTTATGCACAGAAGCAATTGCATAATTTGTTTGAGATATGCCCAGATTTCAATTTATATGAACATTTTGGTGTCATCAAAAGTTTCCTAAGACAGAGAACCTACTCAGGAAAAAAATAAAGAAAACTTACTTTGAAAGAAAAAAATGGGATTTTATGCTTGTAGAACAGATTTTATAACAGAATGCACTGAACTCCTTACATACACTCTTTGAGGAATAGGCTTTATTTGATAACATGCTGTTCACCTATCTTTTGCTTTTTTCTGTATGTGCTAAATCAACAGATCTTGAGCTTGCACTGAACTAAACCTTCAGCTGGCATATTCAGAAATTTTGTTCTGGGTATTTTTCAAAATTTTGTTCTCACATTTCTTGTCAGTCTCTCAAGAAAAGAATGCCATGAAAGCCAAGTTGTTCTGCTTTCCTAAGGCTTTAAAAAGGTGCAGCCAGGAGCTCTGCTCTTGAGCTGTTTTGCCCTAGCTTCTGAGATTGTTAGAGAGCTGGAAGTATAAACATTTGTTTCTCATTCCCATGGCAATGATTATTAGTTATTCATGTCACCTGACTCTGTTTCATATACTAGGGTCATATGCTAGACCCACCTTCCCCAAAGTATGACAATTCCCATTACTGGCTATGCCACCTGAGCTTGATAGGGATTGTACTCTAAAACAACTGGCAGCATGACGTAGCAGAAGGCAGTTCTGGATAATGGGTGTGTTCATACATAACGCAACAATGACGCACAGTAACAAGGCGCCATGGTATCTTGAGTCCTGCGTTCACACATTTGCACAGCTTCTATGTAGATGTGGGTTTTGCACGTTTTAATCATGACTCCAAGTGGCTGCATGTATCCCTTCAGCCCCTGTGGCTGGAAATGAATCCCAACATTCACTGCTCCAGCCTACTTTGCCTGCCTTGCCCTCATTGGCCCACATGCAGCTGACTGTTCCGGCTTGTTTCTCTTTTTCTGGCTGCTCAGCAAGAAAATGAGAAACTGCCTACTTACTAGAGTAGCACCGTTGCTCCAGAATAGCATTGCAGGAGTGCTCCCTCATGCTACCACACACTGTGCCAATGCACAAGCAGAGCCATCCACACACCCGCTTTCCCCCTCCTCCCTGCCCACATGTCCATGCTTTCCCCCATGTGCTTGCAGCTAGGGGCTGCCCCTGCAGTCGGGCAAACGGAGAGCATCCCTGTGAGCACCTCTGCCAGGCACAGAGGGAGCATATCTTGCCAGGCAGTCTTTCCCAAGAGCATCCATGTGTGCATTTGCACCAGAAAGATTACTGGCAGATTGGGGGAGGAGGCTCAGCAGGACTTGTGGGCAGTCACAAGGATTGTTGAGAACAAGATGGAGGCCAGAATGTCTTCTGTAGCTGCAGCCACTCCTGCCACCAAACTTGCTGGCAGAAATGTGGAAAATATGGAAAAAACATTGTAACTGGGGTCACACATACCAATAAGCGATGGTGTGAAAATCTTTCAACAGACTACTGAGTCTTCATGAGGTTTCATGGAAACCAAACATGCCATGTTTTGCCATGGATGCTCAATTCACAGGTAACAACAAGCCCTGCCTGTACAGTTTCCAACATGGCTTGCCATTATGTGTGAATACAATCAACATCTAGATTGTTTACAGCATTATCTTAGTAGTGCTTATTTTCATAGAATCATAGAATAGTAGAGTTGGAAGGGGCCATGAAGGCTATTGAGTCCAACCCCCTCCTGTTGCAGGACACCAGTTTACACTATCCCATTCAGATGGCTGTCCAGTTTATTTTCGAATGTCTCTAGTGTGGGGGAGCCCACCACCTCTCTAGGCAGCTGGTTCCAGTGTTGCATTGATTTCTATGGTGGATGCTCCTTGTGTCACAAAAATAGTTAGAGCTTTTGAATATGGGGATTCAAGGCAGCAGGACTATATCTTCTATATTTCCTGTTAGTTGCCATTCACTAACAAAGGTTTACAATGTACAGTGTTGCTGCAACAGGCTCTTGTATCCATATGGGCATATTTTGGACATTCAGAGGAAGATTTTGAAGATACCCAAGAATTAAGTAAAACAAACTGTCCATTTTGAGGCCAAATTAAAAGTGTATTAACTTAAAGCCCTTTTATAAAAAATGAATAAAATAAAATGGATATTATACAGTGGTATGATAGTAAATTTTGTAAGAGATGCATATACTCTTCCCTAACTACTTAAGAAAAATGTATTGTGTTCAAAGGTGTTTACAGTAGTATAAGGAGCACCACACAAAATAAGCACACACTCTTGCATTGTCAATACAGAGCTTGTTGTTAATTGAATGCTAATCCAATGTGTCATTTCATCACAGAACTGAGAGTTGAGTGCTAGGAGTGTTTCCTTTCCTGCTTTTTTGCCAAAGGATCTCTAGGTGGCACTGCTATATAAAGGAATAACAATACACAAAAGGAAATTGTGCTTTCTTTGATTTTTAAAAATATATCCTTTGTTTTCTCTAAATGCTCTAAACAAAACAAGAACAAAACCTCACCAAAAGCACTGATTAGACACAAAAGCAAAACTGGAAGGTCAAAACATTATCTGGAGAACATTTAAACAACCATAAGTAGTGAATGATGCATGCATGAAAAATACCTCATGAAGACTGTAGACTCTTCTTCTGATGGGTGTAGTTAAGTGGAGTAGAGGTTGCATTTAACCAGTATCAACTGCTGGAACTATCTGGAAAGCCACAGGAGTCAATAGAAAATTCTAAGGAAGAAACACTAATAATTTCTGTATTTTAAAATGAGTATTGTACCCTTTTCAGAAGGGAAGTACTTTAAACCAACTTAATATAGAACCAAACCTTTCTCTTTGAAAAGGCTAGCATGAACACAACTATGTTGCCAAGGACCACATTGCTTTAGTGCAATTTTGAAAAACCAGCTGATTTGCACCAATTGGCTGATTATGCATAAATTATGCTAGAAGCACATATTTTAAGGTGTTAACTTGCACAGTTTTCATTAGTGGTTAAAAAACATGTGCTGATCATGGTCCTTCTTAGAGATGGAAGTCTTCAAACTGGCTTAATATAGCACAGGAATAATGAACCAGAATCTGATCACTCAGGGGTCAAGATCATGAAAATTCCTCAGATTCCCCACTCCCTCCCTGATTCCTCATACATCTAGCCATGGGTATCCTTTTCTTTTGTGAAGAGTTCTTTCTGAAATCCGTATCCTTTTCTTTTGTGAACAGTTATCTCTGAAATCCATCTGTCCTATGATTTTTCACCCTTTCTCTGCCCTTTATTCCAACAGTAGATTCTATTGTACCAGTCAGGAAGCAGTCTGGAAAAGTCAAGGGTGTGGAGTTAAATCAATGCTGTGCCCATCCCTGTGGCACATTTCAGAAAGGGGGCATCAGGTAATTCAAAATATACCATCTACTGAACAGAATCAATGTTCTTTTTTTACCTTGCCAAAGGAAACCACACCCTCATGAAAGTAATGCCACAAAACCACTTCCTGAAATTATAAGCATCCACACTTGGTCATAAACTATATGATGATTTAATCATCATGTGCTCCATTACTCAGCAGGTGACCCAATACAATATTTGATTGCTTATTTCTGTCTGTGGAACTACTAACAATAGTGACTTCCCAGTGTAACCTGGAAAATATGTTCTTTCCCCAGTATTATCCTTAATAGCAGGTTATTTGGCTATGGGTGGGGGGAGGTAGATTCAGGCAGCATAAGCCGTTGTGGTTTTTTACCATTGCTCATCTATCATGTTATCTGAACGCAGTCACACTATTTCACCATGCTAAGTTTGGCCTTTAGAAACCCCAATAAGAAACAATGGTTTGTTCTATGGTTTCTCTGTAGACTGGCAATTTTTTTCCTTAGATCCCGTGCTCTGTAACTGGTTAGTGTAATGTTGCTTGGAGGAAATCTTTCCTCTCATTCTTGAGAGAGGAAAGAATGTGAGGACTTTACTCATTCTTGTGGAAGGCAAGTATGTCTACAAAGCAGAAAGTGGGTGAGGCTGTTAGATTTATTTAAAGAGCTAATTTCACAATCTCAGTTATCTTGCCTTGCTTTGGATGATGCAATACTACCTTGGAAAGTTGGTCAGCTACCAGGAATGTGGTAACCATGTCAATACCTACATCACAGTATTAGCTTTGACCTCATTAGATTTAGTGCTTGCAATCCAGAGTAGAAAAATCCAATTAATCATCCATAGGAGCAAATCAGTTAATAGAATGCCCCTACTTCTATATAAATAACACACCCTATGTTTCCCATGATTAAGTAATGCAGACAAATCTAAGGGAGGGCCTTCTCCGTGTCTTCAGGCAGCCTTTTGAACTCGCTCCTATGGTTGTTCATCTCTTGTTTTCTTTCTAATGGCTTTCCTTAGGCTTGTGTAAATCTTCATTTTTTGGAAGCACTTTGGTCCTTAAATGGTTGTTCCCTTTCTGAAGTGAACTTAGCTGGTAATAATTTAATATTCATAATAATTTATTTTTTCCTAAAGTTGAATTGTATATATTTGTATACAATTATTTGTATATATTTTTCCTTCTCTACTTTTGCTGTGGTTTATGTCTTATTATATTTATTGCGGCCATCAAACTCTTTTAGTATTTTATTTGTAACAACTATTGTTGCTACAATCTGAATTTACAATATTAACTGCCTTGAACTTGTTAAGAAAAAGTTGGGTAGAAAAGTTTTAGATAAACTGTGAAGAAGTGTTT